TGCTTGCTCAATTGTTTAAGTTATTAAGAGTATTTGAGATTGCCAACAGCTTTTTTCCCCTCTTTTTGACAGCAGGAATGCAAGTATTTGATTTCAAAATGAGAAGCGAAAACACGCAAAACATTTATATGTGTGTGGGGTTGAGGAAGGGGTAGGGGCTGAGGGGCATTGTGCATGCGTGCGTGCGTGCGTGCGCAAAATTGTTGCTGGTGGGCCTCAGCAGGACTGTTGAGGTTGGAGGAATCGTACGTTCAGCTGTGATTTCCATCAACACATTCCTGGACGCTCACACACTCTCTCAGCGGAGCTGCGCACAGCACCCCCCAAGGATGTGACCTGCAGCCTGCAGACACAAATGGCTGTCTCACAAGCGCTTATCACAACACAGCAGCCTGTAGGATAATGGGACGCCTTAATCTGAAGCCACGTGGAGCTGAGCAAACTTTGACTATTGTTGCTCCTTCATGCTGGCCCTATGGAAAACAGCGGATGATATACAACACTGTTCGGCAGTATGCCAGCAGGTTTCACCATGGTAAACTGATTACAGGGTAGAGGTCAGACCACATGGACAACAAATGGTCCCTGGCACTGGGGGTTGGGCATAAGGCGGAAAGCATCATGCTCAAAAAGACAGCAATTGTCACCGAGACTGTTTAAAGGATACATGATATTCCAAAGCACCAGGAAGTGCACAGTTGCTCATATGCTGCACACTGTTGTGCATTTTGTCAGAAAGCCAAAGTTGGCGCAAACACAAATAATAAAACATGTGGCCTCACAAAAGTATGTAAAAACTGGTCCGCAGATTAAACTAATGTTTCAAAATTCCCAGGAAGCTAAAACGGAGCCAAAGAGAAGGAGAAAGTATTAAATGGGACTTAAGACATTGATAACGAGCAACTTAAACACTCAACTCAGCAGAACCTCCGACCATCTGTGCTGAATAACTGTACAGTAACTGGCACTTAATCGGTGTGTGTTTCTCTTCTGCTGCCCTAACAAAAAGACATGACTAAAATCCCCACACAAGTCCAATCAATCAATGTTATTGGCAAACTGCAAGGCTGGCGTGAAGCCACAATGTGCTGCATGCCTCCAAATGCATAAAGGGGTTCAGTTTGAGGGAAGGTTCTGCTCACAGCAGTTTCTACGCCATGGTCCACATCTCGACTCGAGATTACACAGGTCTTATATTTGTCTTATATTGATATGGTTTGTGATGAGTCATGACCAGCTGTTCTGTGTAATATGGGAATATATACAGACTGCTTTTTCCTTCTATGGCAAGTGGAAGCGGTTCTCCTAAGAATAATTTGAACTGAACAGAACAATAGCTTTTAACTTTGGCGACACCTCAGGGGAATGCGTCATATCCTGGCACTCCTTCTGTACCTGCTACTTTGCATATCAAGTCAAACACTGTACCAATAAAGACGGGTTGAAAAAAATGTTTTGTTAAGTGTGGTACCGTAGCGTCTTCCGATTAAAACCTTTGTGGTGATCCACAAAAGCTTTTTGAAAACGTTTGAAAAGGTCCTTTCATTTACTTTAAAACATATTAATGTATAACACACAACTGGCAAAGAATAAGGTGCGGGAGTTACTGTGAGCCGCTGAGATAAAGATGGGTTGTGGTGGCCTGTGTTCACCATGTGGTGGAGCTGAGTGCTGGTTTCCCGAAGTGTCTGTTCACCAGAACAGACAAGCAGGCAGGCAAAGCCCGGCGCACACTGTATCCAAGTGCGAGCGCTCGAATGACGCTCTCGTGCTGAGCTGCTATTTGACTTTATTATCTATGCTCTACCGATTTCACTTTCTGTCTTCTCCTTAATAAGTTCAAGAAGGGTTGGCTTGTTTGCATGCCAGATACTGTTAGAGACACACCACAGGCAAGGAGGAAAGACACCCTGAATCTAGATGTCAGGTACAGTACGGAGGTGCTCAGGACAAAAGCTGGAGAGCAGTAACTGCATTCTAAAATGGGTGTGAAACCCTCCTCTGCAACAGAGCGGACTCATGTCTTCCTCTTCATACTTTTCTCTCCCTCACTGTCTGCCTCTCTTTTCCACTGGCTGTATCTCCCTCTTGCCCTCTACCCTAATGTCTTTGTCTGCTTTCTGTCATGCATTCCCTCATTTTGCTCCCCCTCCCCACAACCCGCCCTCCTTCCTTTATCCACGCTATCTTCTTCTTTAGCTCACTCTGTCCATCTACATCTGCACCCCCTCCCCTCACTCTCCCTCCCTGGAAGGCACACATACACAGATAATACTGCGGCTACATGCTGCTTCTGCAACATACTGCAGCAGGCGAGCATACTCCACTGCAGCCCTTTAACACAATGGCCATTTCTTTTATGACCTCACAATGAAAACAGCTCTCGGTCTAAACAGATTGCATGTTCTCTGCATCTCAATCAAAATCACACAGTACATTTTTTGGGGAGGAGGGAAATACATTTCACAGAGACTCCCTGCAACATGCAATGCATCATTTTTTTTTTATCTGCATCTGCTAATATCAGCCTTTCACAAGACCAGCATGTTAATCAAAGCAACATGCCCTGCTTGCTTCCAATTCCTTTTAATACCATATGTATTTTCAGTTAAGCACTCCCACTGCCTATGGACATATCACCCCTGATTCGCCCTGTCTTGCCTTCTCCCCCGAAGCATGACAGAACGAGACGTGCTGTTGTAACACAATGGGACTTTTTTTTTATTGAACCATGAGCAAACACATTCACACAAACACACACTCCCAATCACACACAAAAACAAAACACACAGAGACAGACATCTAGTGATCGTGGCACATGAAGGGACATACAGTGATGCCATTGTTGGAATATCCAGGAGTGATTTAAGGAAATGACAAAGTGTCGACAGATAACAACACAAAGAGAACACAAAGATGCTTTTACACAAAGACAAAAGAGCGACAAAACTGTGAAAAGGATGACTTGAGATTCAATGAAGAAGTATGCTTTAACCTCAGCTTTGACACATGTAGATACTATCGTGCTTAGCTTTAAGTTGGAACTGTCGGGTGTTCAGTCATGTTTTATCCATTGTGGCTACTGTACATCTCAGCCCACATGTTCATTGCTTTGTGATATTATATTACCTTTGATATTGCTGCATTACCAGCTCTTTTCGTCTGCTAAGGTCATCATATACAGTTTCATGTGCCGCCAGTCACATGTTCGCAAGCTCGATCAAACAGGTGCTACCACCAGGGGTTCCTAGGGTCTCAAGCACGATCTGACCTTTCTTATTTACTTGCCATTAAACTGACTACTGTTTATCGAATTAATTTTTCATAAATGTTAGCGCAGTATGTATTGCATCACTGACCCTTTAAATATTAAATGCACATAAGTGCAGAGGAATATATCACTGCACTGGAGAAGAGCCAAATCTCATGACAAGCAATATAGTGAGAGTCACACAATCTGGCTGTGAATCTCAAATGAAGCCTTTTATATGTCAGGAAATTTTTCAAAAACGAAAGATGCAATATTAAGCCCCATTTAAACACAATACGGAGGACTTCTTTTCGGCGCAATTGTTTGCTGGAAATCAAACTTGCATGCTGAAACCCCTGAGAATCTCCGTGTTTCCAAACACAATGGGTCCTTTCTTTATCTGAAAAGGCTCTAATAATGAAGCTCAGCTTAAGTCTGTTAACTGTAAACAATAGCTCTAAAAGGTGGCCTTGACAAATGCAAAACAAGAAGGTGGAGGTGATTATTGTGCCCTGAGTGCGCCCAAGGACAGGGTGTGATGGATAAACTCCAATCCCCCTCCTTTTCCCCACCATTTACACCTCCATCAGCGTGGGATGAGTACAGAAATCACCCAGTTGGAAGGTCAGCAATAACAAGAACATCTCCACTGGTGTGGCACGAGGAACCTTACTTTTTAAGTCACTCATTCTTCAAAAATAGTGAATATGTGGATGTTGTAAACTAGGAAATCTCTCACTCGGAATAGCGTGAATAAAAATATGCCGTCACGCACGAGAGGTTTGATTAAACAATCACTATCTGCGCTGACTTCATTCACGTCGCATGCTCATGCCTGCACAGTATCAAAGTCTTGCGCCATTACTCAGCGGTCTACAAACAGAAAAGCCGGGTGATCTCAGTGGAGGAAGTTGGATTTCCTCAAGCACATCCAACAATTTCTGACTCTTGCATGCCAGACAACCATATAGATCTCTGACAGTCCAGCACCAGATAACATCAAGTCCTTTCTTGAAAGGATGCAGAGCAACACAAGGTCTTTAAAACTCTTTCTTTCTTTCTTTCTTTCTTTCTTTCTTTCTTTCTTTCTTTCTTTCTTTCTTTCTTTCTTTCTTTCTTATATTTTGATATATAAATGTATTCGATTCATCTACTCAAAAAACAAGCTCCCCACAGCAGCTAAAAATTCGCTACCCATACTGTGAGGAACAAACATAAGCTCACTAACCCACTGAATGGAAGCAGCTGTTATCAAAACTCTTTCATCTGATACAATACTTTGCAAAAATCTGTAATGCACACACACCACTACCACTACTAAACAAGCCTGTTAGATTCTATCACACACACTGAAGATACTTTTTACAACTCTCATATTCTGTCAAGCTATGTTTCAGATCTAAATCTGTAGTCTGCTGCTTTTGCTGCGTGTCGGTGACGGTCAAAGACACTGTGCAGTACAGTTTTGTGGGGTTTTGCATTGCAAGCGAAGAATGGTGAATGAAAGGAGATAACACACCATACATTGCATTTAAATTCCATTCACCCCAAAGTGCAATTCTGTTTCCACTGATTAATAGGCCAAAACCACATGTGTGGACAGTTGTTCTTCATGCGTGTTACTCTTCTTGCATGCCTGTTTGTAATGGCTCCTTTGGATCTCTCAATTGGCAGGAGAACAGTTATAACAACAACAACAATGCCAGTACATCTGTGCCGCTTTGCCTGTTGCTTAGGAGTCAGTACTCACTGCTTTGGACGTTAACAGTGCCAGTGGAGTTGTCCTTTCCCAGCAGGTTCTCCACCACACATGTGTAATTCCCAGAATCCTCCAGTTTTGCTCTGCTGATCTGGACTCTGGAGTTTTTCCTGTGGGTGACAACACTCACATAGCTGAGTCAGGGGAATCAGGGCAGGGAGGAAATAGCAAGTGAAGGCAACAAATGGAAATACTGAGGGAGGGGTGCCGGTGCATGACAGGGCATGGCACCAGCTCTTCTGTAATAAGGATTCATGATTACTTGCTCTGGAGAGTGGGATGACTGTTTTTAATAAGAAACCGTGGAACAATATGTTAGAACTAGCTGCTGTGGTGTTTTGTAGCTTTGTTTCACGTCGATATTGTTATATCGTGGCCTCCTTAAGTTTTAACCTTTGCTCAACAGTAGCCACGGTGAGTAATTACAGGACAAGGACACAGAAAACTGTCATATTTCCTTTCTTTCTTTGGGTATTTCTTATTTTCTAATGATGTTTTAAATCAATTAAAAAAGAAAACATAATTACAAAAGAACCCCAGACCATCAGGTATTTTTGATGTTAATTTACAACAAGGTAATAAAGCATCCTCCCCCACCCCCCACACTGCTGTTATGAAAGAGGCATTTGTAAAGCTTTCCACGGGGCGACCTGAACCCCAGAGCTAGTTTTAACTCTGAGTGTTCCACACCTTTGATCTGTTCAAAAGCTAATTTATATGTGATCTCCAAAAATAGTCTAAAGGCTGGCAGTAACAAAACTGTGGCTGCACAGCGTGCAAAAGAAAACCAGAAACAAAGAAAATTATAATTTGTAGGGTTTTCAAAAAAGATATATATATGAGGGGCACTATATCATACTCTTGTATTGCTAATAATAATAATATATTCTTTGAAGAGGGCCGAAACAGAAAACAGCTACTGCAGACGTAGCTCACCCTCAGTTTTATCAGGTTTAGCTGGTTTAGCTGAGAACAAGTCAGCTACATCACCCTGTATGTTTCAGCTTTACATAAAACATTAGCCCCCGGTTGCACTCCTCCAAACCAACTTGACTAGTGCTAACTTGCACTTCTGCCACACCGAGTGCTTAGATATATGATCTATTGCTTTGAAATGCAACTTTTTATTTGAATGAGAAAGTTAAATAAAAGGAGGGATCAAACGCTAACTGAGTCATTACAGTGCACTTCAATGAAGGAATTATCCTTTATAATCCCAAATACTAGAAAAGAGGAGGAAAACTGCATCAGCCCTGCCTGCTGACAGTAACGTCACCCACGGAGAACCTTTTACCGTACCGCCTATGTTGGGTTTACAGTACTCGGTTTTTGATTTGTACTCACTTGCCGCTCCTTATTTTGACTTTTTTGCTTTTCTTCAGCTCGTTGCCATCTTTGAACCATCTGTAGGTAGGGGCAGGGTTTCCTGTGGCCTCGCACCTAACTGTGAGCTTGCTTCCCTCGTCCACTATCATTGGATTTTTCATCGGTTTTAACTTTGGAGCCGCAGCTAAAAATAGAGAAAGACAAAAAAAACAAAAAAAACAAGTCAGTGATAATATATAGACATGGACTTGATTATGGTTTGGTTTATGTGTAATTGTGTGTTTTAGGAGGAGACAAAGAGACTGCAACAGAGGCGGTGATTGTCTCTACGGACTGAGCCAACAGCTCTCTCATGTAACCTCCAGATGTTGTCACCAGAGACATGATCAGCTTTACCTCAGACTAATAAACAGGCTGATTTTCAATCTGGCATCGCTTTTATAAAAACACCTGAAGCAATATTTAGCAAACATCCATTGGCTGATCTAGAAAATCTGTAACCGCAAACTTTAAAGCCAATCTGTACGCAAGAAAAGCCAATAACATTATGACTGCATAACAACTAGTCTGTTGTGATGATGGGAACAACAAAAACAAAAAAAGGGATTTAATTATAGCTCTTCTGTTTGTTACAGTATTGTGCTTTGCAAGAGCACAAAACCCTTGTTTTGCCCAGAAATGTTAAACTTTGAGTGAATTTCTTGTGTGTTCATTTCTTTCTCTGTATGCTCATATCAATGATCAGTGCCTCGGCAGTACACTCTGTAAATTCTTGCAACTTTTCTTTCCCCTTTCTTTTGTCCCCAGAAGAGGAAAAGATTTTAATTGAAATATGAAAATGATCTGCATCCAAAGCACACACAAAACAGACAACACAGACACACTCACTCATTCACACAAACACTTGCCAGCTGACAGCTGCACACATGTTTAGGAGAAAACTCATCCAGGGCGGAGCAAGAGGAAAGAGGTGAACAAGGGTCAGCCAGGGCTGGCCGAGAGCCCCCTCCAAACCCTAATGCGCACAC